CGAGGACTATTGACACTACACCGCAGGGTGTGGGTGCCGTATCACGGAGGCGTGTGCCATATCTTGATAGAGGAGGCGTACAAGTCCCGATTCTCTATTCATCCCGGGGTGACAAAGATGTATAGGGATCTTTGTCTAGATTATTGGTGGCCCTGCATGAAGCGGGATGTGGCATGGTACGTCGAGCGGTGCTTGACCTGTAGGAAGGTCAAGGCCGAACATCAGAGACCGCATGGGAAGATGCAACCGTTGGACATTCCGTTGTGGAAATGGGAAGACATCACGATGGATTTTATCATAAAGCTTCCCAGGACTGCGCACGGAGTAGATTCGATTTGGGTCATCGTGGATCGATTGACCAAGAGCTCCCATTTTATTCCGATCCAGGAGAGCATCTCGGCCGAGAAGTTGGCCGATATCTACATCAGGGAGATAGTAGCGCGGCACGGGGTGCCGGTGTCAGTGATATCAGACCGAGATGTGCGATTCACTTCTAGATTTTGGAAGAAGTTTCATGACGAGTTGGGCACTCGTTTGCATTTTAGCACCGCCTTTCACCCGCAGACGGATGGTCAGAGCGAGCGGACCATCCAGACTTTGGAGGATATGTTGCGGGCATGTGTGTTAGATTTCGGTGGTAGCTGGGATACCTATCTTCCCTTGGCTGAGTTCTCATACAAGAACAGCTACCACACGAGTATTGACCATCCCCCATTCGAGATGTTGTACGGACGGAGGTGCAGAACCCCAATATGCTGGGGTGAAGTTGGCCAGAGGGTCATGGGGAGCACCGAGGTGGTGCTCGAGACGACCGAGAGGATCCAGCAGGTTCGGAGCAGGCTTCAGACTGCTCAGAGTCGGAAGAAAAGTTACACCGACAAGCGTCGATCCGACTTGGAGTTCCAAGTCGGGGATATGGTTCTCCTGAAGGTGTCGCCTTGGAAAGGCGTCATTCGATTCAGGAAGCGGGGAAAATTGGGCCCGAGATCTATCGGACTGTTCAGGGTTGTAGCCCAGGTGGGCAAGGTGGCGTATAGATTGGATCTGCCGGTCGAGCTCAGCCAGATCCACAGCACTTTCCATGTCTCTCAGCTGCGGAAGTGCTTAGTGGATGATTCAGCAGTAGTGCCGTTGGAGGATATTCAGATTGACGACAGCCTGAATTACATTTAGCGCCCAGTCGCAATCCTCGACAGGAGGTCGAAGGATTTGAGAAAAAAAGAGTGGAGTTAGTGAAGGTGCAATGGCAGCACCGCAAGGGTTCGGAGTGGACTTGGGAGCCGGTGGATGAAATGATGGAGCATTACCCCGAGCTGTTCCAGGATCGAGCAGCAGACTTCGATGACGAAGTCTAAAATAATTGGGGGAGATTTGTAGCACCTGGTTCCAGGTATGTAAATCTTAATTGAGTATTTTTCCTTTTTAAGCCTTGGACTCGGCGAGTGATAGGTTCGACTCGCCGAGTAGGGACGGGACCCGGGACACGTTTAAGTTGGTGACTCGGCGAGTCCATATCCTGGACTCGGCGAGTCACCGCTGTTGGATGAAACCCTAAGTTTCAGGGGTTTGCACCCTATTTAATCCCCCTTTCCGCCCCCAAGACAGCCCCCATTCACCCTAAGAGCCATATACCTTGTTCTAAGCCTTGTTTTGTGGATTTGAAGCCATTTGGTGTGTCCTCTTGGAGATTGGAGTGAGTAGGGAAGGAGATCAAGAAGAAGAAGAGGAGGTCAAGCACTTGTGAGCAATTTCAGAGTGATATCTAACGTATGGCTCGTTTTCCCCCTTGTCTCCATGCTTATGGCCCAATTAAAGTCCTTCATGACTCATTTCCATGCTTGTATGTGCATCATATTTCGAAATAAGTTGATTGGTCTCTAGATCCAAGCATAATTGAGCTCCATGAGCTCAAATCCACTACCTTTATGAGCCCATATTGCATATAAACCTTAGATATACTCTTTTGGTGCATTTTGAACCCTAAAAACCCCATAGATGGATATTTACACGTAAAGTTGGAAACTTTACGTGTTATTCATGCTCTAGGAGCCCAGATCTACGAATGGCATGGACTGGATTCGAGCAAAATCGCATTTTTAGCTCTTGCATGGAGCGGACTCGGCGAGTCGCTCATCTGACTCGGCGAGTCTAGTCGCGAGTCTCCGGGTTTGTCCCCTTTTTGTTATGTCGAGTTGTGTGGTGAGTCTAGGAGGGACTCGGCGAGTTGGAAGCCAAAACTCACCCATAGTGGAACTCAGTGAGTCGATGCCCAGACTCGGCGAGTTCAAGGCAATCTCCTTAGATCAAGATCAGACTCGACGAGTTGTTCATACGACTCGGCGAGTCACAATATAACTTGTTCATCGGATGAAGATGAACTCGACGAGTTGTTCATAGAACTCGGCGAGTAGGATGAAGGACTTGAACATTAGTTTGGAAAGAGAACTCGTCGAGTCGACGCCTAACTCGACGAGTAGAAACAGAATTCAGGACAGTCGTTTGGACATGGACTCGGCGAGTTGGCGAGCCAACTCGGCGAGTCGGGTCAACTGGAAGTTGACTCTGACTTTGACTTAGGGCATGATCAGGGGTAAAATGGTCATTTTACCTAAGGGTCAGTTAGCAGTTTTTGATTAAGTGTTTGGTGGGAATACAGCCGGAGAATTTTCGGAACAGCAGCATCAACAGTCAGACTATTCACACGAAGATCAGCAGCTACTCCGAGGTGAGTTGCCTTCCAGTAGCGGTGGGTCTAAGGCCACAATGCTGGCCCACCAGTAGGAGTTGTATGTTAGATGATTGTCTTTGTGATATCATATAGGTTTGCTACTACCTGATATGTTATATGTTGGCATGATATGTTGTATGGGATAGTAGTAGAGTTCGGTTGCTAGGACCGAAGGGTGGTTAGACACCCCAGATATGTTTGATATTACGTTTGTGAAATGATATATGTGATGGTAGTAGTAGGGGGTGAAATAGTCCCCGAGGTTCAGTTGTTAGGACCGAAGGGCAGTCAGCACCCCAGAATAGCTCGACATGGGTAGGTCAGCACCCCAGAATGACTTGACACGGGTAGTCAGCACCCCAGAATGGTCGTACCGGGTAGTCAGGCACCCCAGAATAACCTGGCAGTATGTATGATATGTATTGTATGGTATATGGTACGATGGGGGAACTCACTTAGCTTTGTGCTTACAGTTTACAGTTTTGGTTTCAGGTACCTCTTCATCGAAGGGGAAGGAGCTGACTCGGTAGCGGCACATCATGCACACACATTGGTTTCCGCATTTACTAGATTTCGTTGGGATTTATACTCTGATGTTTCGATTGGTTGTATGACTTGACTTTTGAACATGGTCTATGTTGTGATGTAGTTTAGTCAAACAATGTTTTTATTTATTAACATGTTCTAAAGTAATGTTTTAAAAACGTAATTTTTGGACGTGAAAATTGGGTCGTTACACTATCATAAGTATGAAAAATACTTGTACATTTTAGTCTTTGGGTCTTAAGATTACAAAACATTTTATAAGGAAAATATTGGATTTTTCTTGTACAAACACTAAATTTACAAATAACAGATTTGAACTCTTCATACAACAGCTTATGAAGTCACCAAGTTAATTGTTGACACTCTTTCAAAAATTACTTGTATTCTTAGGTAGTCAATAAAAACAGGTGATTACCAGGTTTTGAGTATGGAACGCTTCAACATTTATCAAAACATTTTGTCATTATATTGTAATCAATTTTGAAACATGTAACTCGTGAAATCATGTAACTTTCTTGATTATTTTTATAATGGTTGTATTTGCTTTGAGCACTATTATACTCGTTGTTGTGATACTATAAATGAAGTCCTCCACCCCCGGACATTTCCGCAATCCTTGGTTTGGGGTGTGACAAATGGGAATAAAAGAAAGGGCTTGTTTGGCTAGGGTGTTTTGAAACGATTGTGTGTAGTGGTGGTATATGTATGTACACGGATCGACATGTGAGTAATGGAGTAGTAGTGTTGGCCATCCTCTCCACTGTTAATCGCAAAGACAGTAAGGGAGGGGATAACGAACCCTAGAAGGCCATTACATTGAGCAGTCACAAACATTTAGAGAGTGAAAGGTAGTGAAGTGGTGCATTGGTGGCTACTGTTTTAGCGATCTGATGGGCGGGGAGGGGGGGGGGGGGTTGTGGTGGCCCAATGGGAGCAGAGGCAAGAGGGGACGAACCTGGTTCAAAAAACCAGAAGGGCGATTAAGGTTTCCCATGGAGAGAGAGAGAGAGAGAGAGAGAGAGAGAGAGAGAGAGAGAGAGAGAAACAAAAGCGTTGTAAGAAATAATGATTTTGGAGTAGGATTTTTAGTTTTCTTCCGAATCAAATTTTGAACTAATCTGGATTTTTATTTTTGAGACTAGAATGTCGCCCAAACTTCTTTTGAACGAACGAAGCTTTAGTGAGTAGTATCTAATGTCTAATTACTTGTATATGGGTACACTTTATTGTGATTGAATATGAGCATTTCACAAAGATCACAAACAGAATAATCCTCACCATCTAATGCAGATTCGACGATCCGGATCACGTTTTCTTTTTTTTTTTTTTTAAAGATAATAGGCTTTATTTGTTGTACCTTTGGCTTTACAATTTTTAATTAAGACATTAATTATGAATGGTTTATAATGTGGTATATATGTGTGTCTATATATATATATATATATATATATATATATATATATATATATATATATATATATATATATATATATATATATATATATATATATATATAATATTTGTACTGTATTTGAAACGTAAAAACTAAAAAGATAAAATATTTGTTGTTCTTACAATCATCAAATCTCAATCCAAAATTTGAGAATGGACCGGTAAAGAAGAATAAAGAAGGTTGTTGGCTGCGTTTTAGACATTAACTCTTTTAATTTTCAGGAATCGAGATTGGAGGGACAGGAGGACATAAGGTAAGGTCGGCCCTGTGTACTTATTTAGGCCGCAGCTCGATACCCTCCACGATAAGACCCTTCTTCCAGTGTCCCAACTTGATCTCCTCATACGCCATCTCAACCTTCCCGTTATCTCCTTCATTGTAATCAAATTCTCCCAGTTTGATCTCCATCCACCCATCCTTCCTCTTATGAGGAAACACATAGTTTTCTTGCACATGATGTGGCCTTTGAAGATAAACATTTTCAGTTTCCATTTTTGACCCACCAAAACTTAACCTTGTTTTTGCTGGCACGGAAAGTCCTATGGAATCCTCAGTAGTTCGAAAGACAAGATACGCATCATATGTACTGTTTTGGGACAACATCCCAGCTACTATTCTTCCGTGGATTGAAAGCCAACAAACTTGTTTAAGTATGCACACTTCCGGGAACCTGCACAATTAAATGTCATTGAATATATATGATTCCCAACTAAAGGCACTATTACATGTTATGTTATGTCAGAGTGACTTTGTCACCATAAAGAGAGAAATAGAGACCTTGATTCTGGTATATGTGTCCATTCCCAGTATTGAGTGTCATGTTGCCATGTAATTGATAGCTCCTTTGCTCCTAACATATAACACTTCTTCCCACTCTCCTTATCTAACTGGAAGCTCTATTTTTGGAATTATGAGTCCAAATATTAGTAGAAGTTGTTTAATAAAAAATTTATATCTTAAAACTCTACTTTCTCAGGTAGCAAGGTATGATTGAATTTGAACAAAACATTGTCTAATTTGTATGACTACCCTTCATATACTTGACCCAACTCCAATAACATTATCTAGAGTTCATGAGTTAACTTTGTGGAATATTTTATACAATTGGTGTTGGATTAATCGGTTGATCTAAATAATGAAATTTAGTTGTAGGGGTATTTTAGAAAACATTTTTTTTAGGTGTTTTATTTGTGTCTAAGGACTATTTTAGATTTTATATAAACTGGTTATTAACCTTTCTTTGTACTTAATTTAGAATCAGGTTTCAGTAATAAAGTATTGTTTACCAAGTAATCTCAATCTCAAAGTTTCTCTGGGTTTTATTTATCCCACTGTATCTTTTTCTTCCTGTTTCGATTTTATTCTTGGACACCAAGGTAAGATTAGTTTGATATTCAACAATTGGCACACAGATCGAAGAGGATATGTAGACATAATTAGCAATTAACGATGATAAAGCAAATAGTGTATCATAAGGATGAGCGATTTACCAAATTGCCAGGGTGGAGGAGGATATGTGAGTTTGACAATAAGAGGTACAGTCGCTTTTTAGAGCCCAAACTCAACGGAAAAAACATCCTCCGGCTAATGATTTCACGGTAATCCTGTGGCAGAAACTCCTGCCAAACGGCGTTGGATTCTGCTGCTGAATTGAATCCTTTGGAGAGGGAGGCAGCTCTACACGCATCCCTAGGTGAAGTTAATGATAGTGTGTATATGAGTTTTACAAATGATGAATGTTGAGTAGTTTTAGGTCACAGAAAGTCCCTCGGAATTGGTACTAGTTCGAAAGACAAGATACGCATTATATGTACTATTTGGTGACAGCATTACAGATGCTATTTTGCCATGGATGGAAAGCCAGTATAGCTCTTTAAGTATACAGACCTCTGGAAACCTACACAAATGGAAACGTAATATATGTTCAGTTACATTATACTCCAATATATATAGAGGCGATGGGACCAAAGATACCTTGATTCAGGTGCGTGTTCCCATTCCCATAACTGGGGATCATCTTTCCATCGAATTGATAGCTCCTTTGCTCCCAACATATAGCACTTTTTACCACTCTCTATATCTAGCTGGAAGCTCTGTTAATGGGATCAATTACATCGGAGAAAAAAAAATCATTCTCGTCATGTTGCAAGGCAAGTTTTTATCAGTGAGTTGAGTTTAGTAAAATCTTCACTTGTAGAAACGTTGTTAATTGAACAATCAGGCAAACAGATCAATGAGGTTACATAGACAAGTTTAACAAGGACATAAAGTTAGTGATATGTCTGCATGCATATGTTGGTGAAGTTAGTGATAGTATCTCGAGATAACTGTTTCTTCATTCATTGTGTATGTGTGTTTTACAACAAAAAATAGCGAGGTATATATAACCTCCGTTAATAATATAACCTTCGTTCGCTTAGACTTGGTATCTATTTTTTTGTTATGTTGCTTTTTGTGCAATTTTGATATTAAATTCTAAATGCACATTAGATGTGATTAAGGAGTTGCAAAAAATAAATAAATAGATAAATAAATTGAATTTTTTGCATCTATATATGAAAAAGTTCAATAGAGAGTGTATTCTTATAAAAAAAAAAATAATAATAATAATAAATAAATAAATAATACTAGAAGCAAATATAATAAAAAAAATATATGGAATAATTTATCATATGCATTATAGTTTTCATTCTTGCTATGAAAATATGTTTCCTTCAAAATAAGTATAAGAAAAGAGTACTTACTTGAATATTCAATGCTTCCGCTATAGTCTTGATGATCCTATCCACCGTAGGGCGTTTCCTTACATCCAAGTTAATGCAGTCATGTGCAATTTCATTAAATTTTTCAAAGGAACTCATATCAATTTGAGCTCTGATAGTGGGATCTATTAACTTTTGAAGTCCGTCAATGAGTCCATGATCATCATAGTAGCTTCGGACGAGGTCGATCAGATATAGTTCCTTAGTATCTTCAAAACGCGTTGCATGATAAGCCATCATCCCACTAGATATCTCGAACATTACCACTCCAAATGAGTATATGTCGGACTCCTTAGAGAGCATATGTCTTTCGTTGTATATCGGATCCAGGTAAAAAGGTGTACCAGCAATCTTTAATTGTCCGGACATGTGTGTCTCCTTGATTTCTTGGAGATAATAATGACAAACCAAAATCACATATTTTGGCTTCCAGATTATCATCTAACAATATATTTGCACTCTTGAAATCTCGATGAATTATTCTGTTGTGCTCCTCAACACCCGAGTGAAGGTACTTGACTCCTCTTGCTGCCCCCAAACATATCTTAAGGCGTTGTTCCCATGTTAGAATACGTCTTTTCTCTGGGTCACCGAGGTGTCGATCAAGGCTACTGTTACTAGCATACTTGAAAACTATAATTTTTTCGTTTGCATCGTCACAGTAGCCAACGAATTGGATGATGTTTGGATGGTTAAAACTTGAAACCAAGTTGACTTCTTTAGTGAACTCGATGCTTCCTTGATAACTATTACGATCAAGGCGTTTGATTGCTACTAAGTGGTTTTTCCAGCGTTCAGAGAGTTGTCCTCTGTACACGCTACCAAATCCACCATCTCCGACCCAATTGTGTGAACTGAAGTTTTGTGTGGCCCGCATGATCTCCTTAAGTGGAATTCGACATTCTTCTAGGTTTACCTGTGATGAAGACATTGGTTTTTGTATTGGTGAGATAGATTATGTGTGGTGATGGTGGTAACAGCTTTTGCTGTGAATATATATAGAACCCGAGTTTGCTTTAGAAGCGTGTTATTTATATAACCGTTGACTAGCATCAACTGCTTTAAAAGTTAAATGTTGTATCTTGTATATTTTAGATTATTAAAAATTTAAAATCATGTAATATGTGTAAGGGTCAAAATAAAAGAGAAAATGAAAACTCGAAGTCAGTATAATAAAAAAAGAATTTGGACTTTCCTCAACCGAACATCAATCTGGACTTGGTAATATTGCACCCTTTGTATTTATTGTATTCCGAACCATGCATGCGATAAATGCATCCGAGTTATAACTTTTAAACAGAGAAACAAACGTGTGGGTCAACTATGAAAGCGTCAAATGAAAATAGGAACATTTATTATGGCTGCTTTTTGCTCAAGGGTTGTGTAATTTGATGATTCAAACAGAGACCAAGTCCAAGCGAATTTTATTCGAGTGATTCCTTTTTTGAGTGTAAAGTATAAACAACAGTATAGAAGATTTGGAAGAAACTAGTCGAACAATCACGATTACAGCGGTGTATGTGCTTCATAAGGGTTAGACAATGACGTCATCCGAGTGCAGAGAAACCCTCTTAAAATACTCTATTTTATTTTTAAGATGTTAACTTAAGTTTTAATGTAATATGGTAAAGGTTTTAGATAAAGTAGCTAATTGTTAGAGTTGGAAGATTGATTGAGAAACACAAGTGTTGTAATCAGAAGTGGTGGGTTGGGACTCGCTTTTGTTAATTGTGAAAGTCATGGATCTCTTATGTCCACGGGTTAATCGGATCCGACCTGATACTATACAAACAAAAGGTGAATTTCTATTCTTTTAGATTCTTAACCTAGATTGTTAACAAAATAGTGGTGTTTTGAAACAAAAAAGTTACCAAATAAGTGTATTAAATATTTATTAAAAGAGTATATTAGTCAAAATATTTATAAAAACAGTGTTTTTTTTAATCTTCAGCTATTGTTTAATTTTTACTGTTTTTTTAATAGAATTTGTTAACTTTTTTTACTCTTTGCTATTAACTGTTGTAAAAAAAGGTATAGTATCACAAGAAATTGAATGAATGTCAATAAATGTCCTTAGTTGTTAATAGAATTCATTTATAAACAAGAATGCTAGATATCTTAAATTAAAACCAAGATCAAGCATACAATGTTTATATGTACACAAATACATTAATGACTTCTTTCAAAAATAAAAAGGAAAAAATAAATATTTCTATTGCTTAAGTCGATTAGTTTTAATATCTCTACATTTACATTGGTTTAGAGGGACATTTTCTTGATTATTGATCATTTTGCCTACAAATTCTATAAAGGTGCCAATTTTTCTCTTCTTTGATATAAATTTCTTTTTGTAGTCTTGTTGAGCGAGAACGATCTTTTTTATTCAGTAAAAGCTCTAAATTTGATAGCACTTCGTAGATGACAATTATAAACAATACTCTTCATGAGGAAGTAGAGAAAAGTCGGATGCCCGGATCGAACAATACTCTAAAATCTAAAATTGAATAGTATTTATGAATATATTGCTAACTATTTAATGATAGTGTTTGTCATGTACATTCAAAACATGATAACATTGATATTTAAATACATTTCACCTACCGTATGTACAAGTTTAGCAAATGCGTCTACCTACCCTTCTCATTTCCGGGTCTGAATTTTTTGCATTAGTTTTGTTGGCGTGTGTTCGTTCACATAGTAGAAGAGGTAGATGTATTGCTTCTTGATTGAAAGCCTTATATCTGAACAATGCAAAATGCTAAAAAAAATATTCTTCTCGGCTTTTTGTGCAAATATTAAATCTATGTAAAACAACTAGTAAAGTAGCTCATTCGTCCCAAGAGTTAGATTTTATTTATTTATTTATTTATTTTTGATGCTTGGTGGGCTAGGGGATGTTGCAGTGGACTATATTGATGAATTAAAGGAAGGCTTTATAAGTACTTTAAACCTACATCTGAATCTGAATTAGAAAGAATGAAGAAGTAAGGAGATGAGACAACTCTTTCTTGAACTAAGTTATCATATCACATTTAAGTGAAAGGTAAAATGCTTTAGGAAAAAAAATCTATAATTACAATTTACAATGGTTCAGTAGAAAGAAATAGAAATAGGATCTTATAGGTTAATACACAAACATATAAAGGTACATTTTTATTTTCAACCAAGTAAACATGAAAATGGAATAGAATGGTCCATTCCATTGGTCATTGAATTCCATCTTACTAAAAAGGAGAAGCCATCTAAAAAAATAAAAATTTTGCACCTCATGCCTAGCCGGCTTCCAAAGATGCAACATATGGATTCACTTTTGGCTGCATGAACCCTTCGTAAAGTAGCTTATGCTGCAAATTGGGCTGCCATTGACGTTGTCTTCTCATCATTGATTTTTTTTTTTATAATGGAAATGATTAAAATTAAGAAATAAAAATATTCACGTCGTTAATTAGTACCGGAAAACATTTTACATCAATATATAACCGTTGTCAATGTTGCTTTAAAATTATTCCTATCGTAACACCATTTGACAAATCATAAGCCGGATCATGCGGAACATAATCTAATTTTTCATTATAGAATTCAATAATATATTAATGTTGCTTTAAACTTATTCCAATCGTAACAACATTTGACAAATCATAAGCCGGATCATGCGAAACATAATCTAATTTTTCATTATAGAATTCAACATTATATTAATGTAGCCATTGAACCACTAATTTCATTATAATTATAATAATATATTATTTTGGTACTTAAATTAAGAACACATGAAATATGTATGGTTTTTTGTAATTTATATATAAAAACAAGGAAATAGGAAAAAATTAATCGGTTAACATGAGTTTTTGTAACCGCTGGCTTCGGCCTATATGAAGTTGAGTGGGCCGTTATATTCTAAGGGGTCCATAATCATTTTTCCATTTTCTTTTTTGTTTGGCAATGAATGGAGTTTCATTAGTAGTATGTAAATATAATTTTACCCTATTATTGTCCTACTTCTTCAATATTCCCACTTTAGCCGTAATATTTTCTTTCATCTAGACCCTTTAGAAGAAATAACCCAATAATTATTATTTTTACTTTGTTTACGAAATCAAGATTGAAAAACAAAGCACCATAACTTAGTTTGCAAATACACTCATTACGAAATCAAGATTGAAAAACAAAGCACCATAACTTAGTTTGCAAATACACTCATTAAAGTACGATATATTGTATGGAAAATCTTCGAAAAAATCTCAATATTTTATCGTAATTTACGAAAAAAATCATAAACTAAAATTTGTTTACGAAAAAATGTTAATTATCAGTAAAAGTGACGATTTGACCCATTTTTTCCGTTTTACCAGTCTCATTACTTATCCGGTTTTATTAAAATCTCATTAATTTACAATAATTTATGAATAAATCCCGAATTATGGTAAATTGATGAGATTTTAATGAAATTATGGTAAAATAATAGGAATTTAATGAAACCGGGTAAATATTAAAACCGATAAACTGGAAAAAAAAATGGTAAAATCGTCATTTTTACCGGTAATTAGAATTTTTTTCGTAAACAAAGTTTAGTTTGAGATTTTTTCGTAAATTAGGGTAAAATATTGAGACTTTTTTAATGATTATTTATGAATTTACTTAAAAAACTATAAGGATATTTTTGAAAAATTATTCGAAAAACTGATTTATTGGTTATTATTTTACTTAAGAACCATAAGGGTGCTTTCAGAGAATGCTTAGTGAGATTGAATTTGTTTGTCAAAAGGCATAGATAAATGTTGGAAATTTTAATGAATAATAGATAAAATTTGATAAATGATGTTCGATTGAAACAAAAAAATGTGTCAAAATTGAAATAAAAAATTAAACTTATGTCAAAATTGAAAAAAAAATGAAAACTTAATATTTTTTGTGGAAAAAATCAATTTTTACACGTCGGCATATCATGTCAGCATGCCACATCATCAAAAACTTACACATCATCATCCCACGTCAGCATGTAACCTGGTTAACCGGTCAAGTGGTCAGAATTGTAACAAATTGAAAAACACAGTGTCAAAATTGACACAAAAAAACACGGTGTCAAAATCGAATTTCTATGTAAAAAGAGTATTTTTTGTACTATTTACCCAAACAAGAATGCTAGATATCTTAAATTAAAACCAAGATCAAACATACAATGTTTATATGTACACAAATACATTAATGACTTCTTTCAAAAATAAAAAGGGAAAAAGAAACATTTCTATTGCTTAAGTCGATTAGTTTTAATATCTCTACATTTACATTGGCTTAGAGGGACATTTTTCCCGATTATTGATCATTTTGCCTACAAATTCTATAAAGGTGGCAATTTTTCTCTTCTTTGATATACATTTCTTTTTGTTGTCTTGTTGAGCGAAAACGATCTTTTTTATTCAGTAAAAGCTCTAAATTTGATAGCACTTCGTAGATGACAATTATAAACAATACTCTTCATGAGGAAGTAGAGAAAAGTCGAATACCCAGGTCAAACAATACTCTAAAATCTAAAATTGAATAATATTTATGGATATATTTCTAACTATTCAATGATAGTGTTTGTCACGTACATTCAAAACATGATAACATTGATATTTAAATACATTTCACTTACCATATGTACAACTTTAGCAAATGCGTCTACCTACCCTTCTCATTTCCGGGTCTGAATTTTGTTGCATTAGTTTTGTTGGCGCATATTCGTTCACATAGTAGAAGAGGTAGATGTATTGCTTCTTGATTGAAAGCCTTATATCTGAACAATGCAAAATTCTAAAAAAAATATTCTTCTCAGCTTTTTGTGCTAATATTAAATCTATGTAAAACAACTAGTAAAGTAGCTCATTCGTCACAAGAGTTAGATTTTATTTATTCATTTATTTTTGATGTTTGGTGGGCTAGGAGATGTTG